CGACAAATTAGAATTTGCCATGGTTCAGGAAAAGACTGATGATTTGTAAAAAGTGATAAAATTACATTTGGAACCAAGGAATGAGATTGACAATCTACAACAAATATTCTTCCTTTAAAGACTGTATCAGCAAAAATCGGTTCAATATCATCAGGAATGGGTCGAATTCGTCGTGGTATGTCAGTGAAAATATTATGAAGTATAGCACCAATTTTACGAAGAGTCGGTAAAAAATCATTTTCGCTCTGAACAATAGGCCATTGTCCAGTCCAATTAGGTAATTTAGGCAATTGAGCTTTGTCATTAACGAACCGGACAAGATAATGGCAAATCTCTTTATTCGATACATCATTTTCATAATCATGTGTTTGTTCAATACTTTTAAAATAATAATAAAAGGTTAGAATATGATGTGCAGAAAAGAAGGTTAAATAGTAATGTTCATTTTGTGCTTGATCAACTATTTTTTCCCATTTTTCCATGTCATTAGTTAATTTGTCCAACAATTTTTGCAAGTTGAGGATTCCATGAGCTTCTTCGTGCATCTTTTGATAAAGAAAATGACCATATTGAATCAGTCTTGAAGCCACAGTGGTAATTTGCTGTGCCAAATCAACTTGCATGATAAATTGATTCATTAACTTTTCAGTACCATCATCATCAACTGAATTATCAGTGGAGGCTCCAGATTTCCCAATCAATAGTGCATGATCGCAGAGATCGAGCAATTCTGCTATCTTATAAGATGCTGCATCATTATGTTGATTTTGTGTTATATCATGTTTCAATGTAAGCTCACACGAATAAGATAGTTCGTTATGTTCAAATATATAAAGACCAATTGTTGCAGCATTTTTAATTCGTTCCTTATTAACTTCATCTCGTTTCACTATATTACGATACATATTCTGTAAAGCTAATTTATGCTATCCGGAACTTATTTTTTTCAGCGAGTATAGGACGTTTTTGTGATATTTCAAACAAGAATTTAAATATGAAGTAGTTGACAATCTGCGAAATCCTTATTTAATAGAAGGTATGAAATTTTTTTTTGCTTTAACATTCGTAACCCTTGCTTGACATTTTACTAATGCGCAAATTTAGGCACTATTAGATTTGGTTTACCTACTGGTTTAACATACAACACTTTTATCTTAACTTTACATTGTCATGAAATGCGTGAACCATTGAAAGTGCGTCAAAATGTATTATATATAGTTAGGCTGTTTAAATTAGGAATTTTATCAGAAGCCTTTTGATCAAAATTTTCTTAACGTTAACATTATTGCTTAAGTATCTATTTAAATCAGGTTTTCTGCATATATTGATGAATCGTCCATTGTCTATCGTGGGAATTTTTGTTTATTAATATATAATTGGTTCTTACAATAATTTTCAAACATAATTATTTAAGATAAATAATCATTCACATGAAAAACAACCAAAATTGCCTATTTACAAAGGTTTAAAAGCATCTTTATCGTTATTGTAAAAACAACAATTATGACACTGTATTAAAATCCAGGTGCTTATCAAAAGTAACGGGCCCATGAAATACCCCTGCTGACGCAGGGGTATTTCATGGGGCCCGTTACTAAAAACCTGCAAGATAACGATAAATTTGGTATTTGGTACTCTTATTCCGTAAGAATAGAACACATAATCGTCATTTGAAAATAAGTTTAAAAGATTTTATTTTCTGCTTTAAAATTCCGAATAAATACCTATTAAAAAATATATATATATAATTTATACATCATTTTATTTTGAAATAAATATGTCCCTTATTTTATCTGAGTGTCCTAATTTCCCCCACCACTTCTGATTGGATGCTGTAAATACTGTCGGATTTGGCGGAGTAAATCACAAAAA